AAGCCTGCAACCCGGGCCTTGACTGGGAATTGAACCGTGACCTCCTGGTTCATAAGTCGACACTCAACCACTGAGCACACCGGGCCAGACTGATTTTCAGTCTTCTTTTTTTTTTTTTAAGAATCCGGAAATTCCCCTAGGAATTCAGAATCAGTTATATATGCCCCTAAGTTTAAAGGTCTCACACCAGGTTGATTTGTTTCTCCCCAAAAATAACCATCTCTGTTTATCTGAGTTGTATACATGCAGCCTCACAAAAGTAAGAAAACTTGAAATGAAATATAGCTAGTTTTCTTTGACTACAGTGGCTCCTCCTTAGATTGGCTCCCCTTCCTGGCTTCCTTCTTGCAGCAGTGGAACCACTGTGCACACTCCCCCAGCTTCCTGTTCCTGCATCCTCTCCTGCCTCCTGTGTGAGGGTCTGTAGTTCTCTTCTCCTTTAGACCCAGGGGAAGCTGTGCACTACAGCAGTTAAGAATGTGGGCTCTGGAGTCAGATTGTCATGCTCACATCCTGGTTCCACCATTGGCCTTGAGCAAGTTACTTACCCTCTCTGTGCCTCAGCCTCCTTATCTGCAAAATAGTACCTTTGTCTTTGAGTTATTGCGAGGATTAAACACATTAATATACATAAAGCATATGGGACAGTTCCCGGCACATCTTGGCCCAGTGCAGTCATGGCCTACCCAGTTTCCTGCTTCCAAGCTTCCTGTTTTAATCCCTGGAGGGAAATACCACCAGAGGAATCTCCTTTAAACTATCCTTTTCATTAAGGCACTCCTCTTCTTCCTAAAAGTACAATGCGATTTCTGTGACGTATCCTTTATAGTCTGGCCCTTGCAACATTTTGGCGACCTGAGGAGAAAAAGATGAATGGTGTTTGGCCCCTACCTTTGAGGTTCTTACCAGATAGTCCTGGAGACAAGGAGTCAGACAGCTCCCTGCATAATAGGTGCAGCCACAGAAGTGGTGCCAGGCAGAGAGCGGATGATTAATTCTCATGTGGGCGCCGGGACAGGCATCACCGCGTAGGTGACAACTGCAGTGGGTTTGAAAAGATGAATTAATGTTTGCCGGGTGAGAAAGAGAGGAAGAGAGCCGAGGAAATGATTTGTGGGTGGGTGCAGAGGTGTGGCGCCTGCCATGCGGCTACTTGATGCTGCTGGAAAAAACCATGCATGGGCAGGGGAGGGCTGGGATACGAAGGCCTCTCCATGGTGGGGACACAGGGAGGGGCTCTGACCAGGTGGGACAGGCTCGGACTGGCATTCTGGGAAGATCAGAGGCGGCAGTGTGGGAAGGAGGTTGCGGGAGGTGAGACCAGGAGGAGTCCTGGGCAGTAGCCTTGGCCCTGACCCCCGTGGTGGTCAGTGGGCATGCATTGCCCCAACAGGATCTGCAGCAGCAGCTTCTGCAGTAATAAGTAGCCTGTGTTTCTGTCAAGGTCACAGTCACGCTGCCCCCACCCCCAAGACTCCAATTCAGTTGGTTTAACACAGCACAGTCCAATGGAAACATAAATGCAGACCACAAATATGAGTCACATTTGCGATCAAAAATAGTAAAAAATGTAAAACTAATTGTAACACTATATTTTATCTAACCCAATAAATCCAAAATGAGATCGTTTGCCTTTTTTAGTACTAAGTCTTTGAAATCCTGTGTGGATTCGCACAGCACACCCCGCCAGCCTGCCTGTGCTTCAGATGTGCAGCAGCTACATGAGCTGGCGGCTGCTGAACTGGACAGCACAGACCTAAGTGGGGTCCAGGGGTCTGGACTGAGAGGTTAAGAGTATTCTGCTTCATCCTGTCCACTTCAGCATCCAAATCTTGCCCATCAAGGCCCAGCCTATGTTCTTCTCCCCTGGGAAGCACAGGCTGTGTCTGCCATTCGCTTGGCACTAATTGTACATCACCCTGTGTTTTCATGATGAACTTCCATTTCCCCTTCTCAGCCCTGAGCTCCTGCTGGACAGGAACCCTGTGCTGTTTCTCTTTATCCCCCAGAGCACCCTGTCCATTCCTCCAGGGGCTGCATTCCACGGGACTAGAAACATTGCCAGACCACACACTTACCCGTATGGCATCTTTTAAGGCCTAACCTGAGGGGAAATGTTATTCTCATGTCACTGCTGTAAGCAGGGAGGCAGGAAAGAAAAGGCTTTCTTCAAGGTCACACTCCCCTCCTGACAGACAACACTGCTCTCAGTTTATCACGTTTTGTGTATTGATTTTCAGCTGGACTCCCAGTTAAAACAGATATAACCCCTGGGCCATCTCGGTTATGTTCTGGAGCACGGCGTTCTTTCTTCTGTAGGATGAAGTGTAACAGGCCTTCAGTAAAGGTTGAAGACAAGGAGTTCCCCTCCACCTGCTCAAAGAAAAAAGGTAACCATTTCACAGTTCTGCCACCTCCTGTCCCAGGTGATTCTCGCTTCTACACGGGTGCGCTCAGCAGGGCACTGGCTCAGTGTCTCCCTGCTGGCCAGAGCAGCAAGTCCCAGGACTGCAGCCAGGACCCTACTGCCCGCTACCTACCACGTGGGAGACGCGGAGCAGGGAGAGCTGGAAGCCCTGATGGGCTTTCAGGGCGACAGAGTCGTGGGAAGGCTTCCTCTGCTTACATTCTGCTTGTTGTCATTGGTTGGGAAAGATACTCCCATCCACAATTCTAACTGCCTCTTGAGCAACCCGCCCGTCCATCAAAACTATTCTTGCTGAATTCATCAGTTACCTTCATGTTGAATGCAAAGGTCACTTTTCATTTTTCTGCCATCTTAAAGTGTTCTCTTCCTCAGATCCCATGAAACCCCATTCTCGTCTCCCCACCCTCAGCCACTCCAGCCTCTCTTCCTGGTTCCTGCTGCGGGCTCCTCACCTGTCTGGGGCCACCTTCTCTTTTCTGTATCTGCTCCATCCAGAAGTGATCCCTTAGCTTTCAATATCATTTATATGTCAATAACTGCCAAGTTTATATTTCTAGCCTAGACTTCTCTTTTGAACTCCAGATTCATAAATTAACTGCTTATTAAATCTACCGCTTAAATATCTCAAGGGCATCTCTAAACATGATAGATGTAAAAGTAACCACCTGAGCTTCTCCTTGATATAAATAGCAGCAAAAAACTAATAATACCGCGAAATGTAAACCGCCATCCACCTAGTTGCACATACTAGACACCCAAGAGGCACCCTCACCCCGTTTCACCCCCACCCCAGTCACAAAGCCCTGCCACAGTGAATTCCTTCTACAGAAGGTATCTGAACTGTTTATCCACCTCCACGTTCACCACTATCCCTAGATCCAGGCTGCACTCAGCTCCCCCCTGTCTTTGTAAAGTAGACCCCACACACCTTCCATCTCTCCACACAGCAGCCTGAAAGACCTTTTTAAAATGCAAATCTGATCAGTTCCCTACTTCAAATCCTTGGCTGTTCCCATTGCTCTTGAAGAAAAGTTAAATCCTTAACAGGATTTGGTTTCTACAGTTCCCAGTCACTAGCACAGACCTGATGCTTGCTACATACTCCAAGGATTTTATGGTTGAAACCCAAGGTGCTCCACACTTACTATGTCCCAAAGTGAAATCAAGTTATCTTCATTTGCTTTCTTTCATGCCAAATACTTGGATAATCATACCAAATCCCAGGAATTCTCAGCAGTTTCTCCCACATCCTCCCCTGCCGCCTCCTCAGGGCACTGCCCAGCGCAGCCCTCGCCTCTCGCTGCGATTCTCCTCCTCCTGTTCTCTTCCAGTTCACCTGTCACTCTGCTTCTAGAGCAGGGGTGGGCAAACTTTTTGACTCGGGGGCCACAATGGGTTCTTAAACTGGACTGGAGGGCCTGAACAAAAGTATGGATGGAGTGTTTGTGTGAACTAATATAAATTCAAAGTAAACATCATTACATAAAAGGGTACGGTCTTTTTTTTTTTTTGTTTTATTCATTTCAAACGGGCCGAAGGGCCGTAGTTTGCCCATGGCTATTCTAGAGCCTCCAAACCCTGACTTGGTTTTGCTGTTTCTCCACTTAAATCCCATTGGGAGATCTTCATTTCCTAACAGAAAAGACCAGCACAATTGTTAGCAAAGAATCCAAGGCCCCACCTGCCTTTCCAACTGCACCCCCAGCCCCTCCCTTTCACGGAACCACACAGAGCTCCGTGCTGTTTCTTATACCGGATATGCTCTGTGCTGTTGCACATCCTCAGCCTTTGCACATCCTCAGCCTTTCCACATCCTCAGCCTTTGCACATCCTCAGCCTTTGCACATCCTCAGTCTTTGCACATCCTCAGCCTTTGCACATCCTCAGCCTTTGCACATCCTCAGCCTTTGCACATCCTCAGCCTTTGCACATCCTCGTCCCTGAGCCAGAGCCCATCCTTCTTGATCTGCCTCCACATTGTGTTTCTGGGCAGCCTTCCTTTCCCCAGGTAGACTCATACCTCTCCCTTGGTTTAACCAGCTCGACTAAACACACATGACACTGATGATAGTTAATTTTCAGTCTTCCTTTCCGTCCCCTAAAGCCAACTGCCACTAACCGTGGACTTTGCTTTCTAGCAGATCGAAAAAGCTTCTGCACAATCCACAGCACCGGCTATTTGAAAAGCTGGCCGCCCACAAAGATGGGGCTGGATGAAGACAACGAGCCGGACAATGAGGGGTGTAATCTCAGCTGCCTTGTCGCGATAGGACGGCTGCATTCTCATGTGGTTCCACAACCGGTGAACGGGGAAATCAGGGTGAAGTCTATGGAATATGTTTCTCGGCATGCCATCGACGGGAAGTTTGTTTTTGTAGACCAGAGGTGAGCGCCTGCATGTTACTCTTGAATGATAATGGGGAGTTCAACCCCGAGTAAAGCAGAGACAATGGGGCAACGAGCTTGCTTTCCTAAGAATAAAGCGAGAGGAAGTGATGTGGTCGCTGCTAAAATCTGAGATCCATAAGAATGTCATCGTAAATGCAGAGATTTCCTCTCATTCTTGGCGTGTGGAGCTAGTTAAGTAGGTGGATGCCCGTGGCCAGAGAACCCATAGGCACAGCACATGTGGGATGTTCCCGGACCACTCCTGTGATGGGAATTCGGGAACTAGGACTTGGAAAAGAGTAGTCCTGAGGCTATTGGTAATCTCATGTGACTACTCAAGTTTTAATTTAATCAATTAAAATTAAACTCCTCAGGCTCACTAGCCACATTTCAAGTACTCAGTAGCCACATGTGGCTGTTGGCTCAGGTATGGAACATTCCCATCATCACAGAAGGTTCTGGTGGACAGCACTAATTGTCCGTCTCATCGTTTATGGAGGAGGACTGAGGCCCAGCCTGGAGCCTGGCTTCCTCCAAGACTTGCACTCGTTGGTAGTAGACCTGGGCTGCAGGCCCAGCGGTCCCAGGTTTCCCACTGCCCTCTGCTGCCTCTTAAGAATATCCGCAGGCTAGTCATTTTCAGGCTCCTGCAAAGTCACTCCGTGCGGGGAAAGAAGACATTTTCAAGGTCCTGATGGCTCCTGCTGCTGGACCTTCTGGTGTTTGGTTTTCCTGATAAAACGTTGGCAGTAAAATGGATAAGTTTTGCACTGGGGTGTAGATTTCTACCACATTTTTATCTAATATAGTTACCATTTTTAAACCTCCCAAAACCTGATTACTTGTTATAACAACCCCTTTGAAAGGCTTCTTTGCTTTCTTTCCCTCAGTTTTTGTAACTTGAGTGTAATTCAGTTGCATGAAATACATATATATATGAGAACAAGGCCAAAGCCGGGTGATTTTCAGAGGGCTGACTCTGTCGTATATACATGCATACATACATGTGTCATGTATATGTACATATATGTACATATAAATAAAATCTCCACAGAGTAATTGCCTGGCTTTTTTTAATTTTAATATTCCCTTCCAGGGCAACAGCTATTTTGGCATATTTACCACAAGAACTTCTAGGCACATCATGTTATGAATATTTTCACCAAGATGACATAGGCCATCTCGCAGAATGTCACAGGCAAGGTAAGCCGGCTGCACAGAGGACGTTAAGTTTATATGCCCCCGCTTCTGCACTGGTCCACACGTTCTTCTGGGAAATCTGCCCCAGGGCTGCAGTGTCAGCCAGCCCAGGGGTCTTGAGGCCAAGAATCTGTGAGGAGAGGAGGCTGGTGGCCCGGCCCTGTTCATCCCCTACAGAACCCAGCCCTGCCTGCCCAGCCGTTTCTGGACAGAGGTCCGGCTGATTTCCAGAGGGCGTCCCTTATTCACAGGATCCACCTGGACCCCTGAAGATTTGGTGCGGCCCAACAGTTCTAATTCTCTTTTCCATAAACCCTGCACTGCTGCCTGTCTTTTCCTCTTCGTTAATGGCACGGCCATGTATGCAGCCTCCTCAGAGAGAAACCCGTATTGACCCTTCCTTTACGTTATCGTTTACCAGATCGGTTCATTCACCTCAGACGTGAATGTCCACCAAGGACCCTTTTGCCACCTCCACTGTCCTGGTTCGGGCCCTTGTGTCCGCCTTTTAATTGCGAGAGCCTGCTGACAGGCCTCCCTTCTGCTCCCAGTCCCTCTTCTGTCCACAGTTAACCCATTTCTGTGGTAGACCAAGCCTGACAGTGTCCCATTTCTGCTTAAAACTCGCCTCTACACTCAAGGCCAAATGCCTTTGATAGGCATTCAAGGCCCTCCACCACCTGGCCCCGACCTACCCCCTCAGCTTCACCCCCCATCCTTGCCTGCCCAGGCCTGTGCGCAGCCGCGCCGACCATCTCACTGTCCCCTGCCGCCTCCCTGGCCCTGTCACAACTGGGCACTGCTGCATTCTGCCCTTTGTCAAACTTCTGTTCATCCCTCAAGGCCCCAGTCTCCTCCTCCTGCATAGCTGCCTCATTGCTCTCCTGCGGGCAAGGGTCATAGTCCGTCTCCTATCTTCAGGCCTGGCACATGAAAGGTGCTCGTTTTGTGTTTGTTACATAAAAGAATAGGTTCGAATAGGTGAGTGATTTCTCTGGATGAAGATGTCCTAAAAGTGCTTTACTGCCTCGGGATTTGAGATGAGAAGAACACGGTCCCTTTGCACCGCGCCTTCTCATTAGCTGGTGTCCACGTCACCACTGATTCTGGCCGATGTCTGCAATGCAGCCAGGCATTTCCTGGAGCCATCATCTCATACACTGGGAAACGGGGACAGACTCACAACTGAATCGCAAGGCTCTGAGTCAGCCCCTTAGAAACGACCTTGGCTTACTGGAGAGGTGGCATTGGAGCCCGATGCGTTAGGATTTGATGCGTTAGGATTTGGTGCATACCCTGACCTGAGGAAATAACAATGTTCATGGTTTCTTTGCATTTGCAGTTTTACAGACAAGAGAAAAGATTACAACTAATTGCTATAAGTTTAAAATCAAAGATGGTTCTTTCATCACACTGCGGAGTCGATGGTTCAGTTTCATGAACCCTTGGACCAAGGAAGTAGAATACATTGTCTCAACCAACACTGTTGTTTTGTAAGTGTTTCTCCTATGTCAGAAGTTTCTTTGCTTCAAAACGAAATGCCCTGGGCTCCTTACCAGGGAAAGGGGTGCAGCCACAGCCAGGATCACATCCTTTAGTGCCAACTGCTAATACCCTGTGAAGGCTCAGGTTTGCAGAAGCCAAAAGGGTTGTTAACAAGGGACAAGCTTAGTGCTCACACTGTGCAGGCCCAAGGCCTATGGTATTGCTCCAGGAACCCATACCACCTCCTTCCAGTAAAAGCAGCCAACCTCTGAATTGTGCAGGCCCTTCACCCGGGGCTCCCAGGGCATCTCTGAGGGAAGGGCTGGCAGTCCAAGGAAGGCTCCCATGGGCATCAGCTCAGACTGGCCTTGGCTGAGGGGGTGCCCACCAGGCTGGTGGCTTGAGCATTGCAGCTGGAATGCCACCTGCTAGAGAAGCAGGGAAGGGAGAGACCTTCGCTCTGGCCGGGCCGCTCCCCACATCTCCCTCCCTGTGGTGTCCAAACCCCCACCTGTGGTTCAGGCTGAGCGAGGGGCTAGGGCAGGTGCAGTGCAGGCTGGTAGGGAGCAGGCCCGCAGCTGGGGCAGGGGCTGCTGCAGTCATCACTGATCAGAAGGGCCCCCAGGCAGTGAGGCCAAAGGCCAGGATGCCATCCATCGTGTTACCGCTCAGCGAGGAGACCTTTGGGCCACTCACTCAGACAGACACTTCATTTTCTGGCCTGTCCAGGTCCAGAGTGGACACCGGACATCTTGGCCAAGGTGAAAGGTGCATGGTCTGAGCAGGCCTGACTCACGTTTCCCTCTTGCTGGGATGTTCACAGAGCCAGCGTCCTGGAAGGCAGGGACCCAGGCTTCCCGCAGCTCACAGTGTCTCCCCACAGCATGGACGGCATGCTGCCCCCTGGAGAAGGTAACTATTGCCCAGGGCATCGGGCTCGCCCCTGAGAAGCTGCTCGTGAACAAAAGGCTCTCGTATCTGGGGTCCCCAGCCACCCTGTTCTGTGAAACAAGGGAGCCCTTGCGAGGATGAGCACGAAGGACACAGTCTTCTCACCTTCTCTCTGAGCCTGGAATACCAGAAACTTGGTTTTGTCTTTCCGGAGGCTGCTGGGTCCTGGAAGCTCTTGAAATAGCAAAGTCTGGCTCCTCTCCTGCTTCTCCTGCCTCATGCTGATGCGACTGATGTGCTCTTTCATGACTGTCACCGGCCCCTGTGTGGGAGGGGGGTGCTGTGCCCCGGGGCTCCCTCCCAGGACGGCCTTGCCCCCTGCTCTCCGCATTTGCCACATCCTCTGTGGGCACTTGCACGTGCTCTGCAGGACCCCCTCTATGGGTGACCTGCATCCAGGCCCCGCTGAGCTCCAGGTCTGTCTCTCCACTGCCTCCTGGAAAGGACCACCCAGAGTCCAAGGGCACCAGGAAGTCAGCACATCCCAACCAATTCTCCCCAAGCCCCTCGGGTTGCTTAAGCCAGAAACCTTATCTCCTGCTCTCCCCTTCTGTCTGAACATGGGACCTGCCTCTTCTGTCTCAAACCTCTCATCACCACAGCCACTCCTTCACCCTCTCACCTGTGCCTGGTAACTTCCTAACCCGTCTCACTCTGCCTGCCCCCATCCTCCGCTGCAGTTCATCCTCCATGCAGCTGACTAACAACCAAATCTAAGTCCTTGCCTTTCTGTGTAGGGTCCGTTGGTGCTCCCGATTCCTTTGTGCATCTGTCCAAATCCGTTAGTCTGGCATCCAAGGCCCTTCACGGTCTGATTGGTACCCACCTCCCCCGTTGCCTCCATCACTGCTTCATCCTCATTCACGATGAATCTCTTGGAGTGGTCTCCCAAGTGTTGTCCTCCTCGTACCCTTGCATCTACTGGTTGCTGTGCCTGGAATGCTTCCCCCTCCCTGCCTCTCTGCCGAGCTAATGTATGCTCCCTCTCTCAAGACTCGGCTCAGGGTTGAAATCTTCAGGAAGCTGCCCCTGGCCAGGATGAGTTGGGTGCCTCATGCCTACTTGTCAAACTTGTCCCACTTTGCCACTGTTCATCTTGCCTGCCACCCCAGAGGCTGTGAGCCTCGAGGGCAGGGAGCTGCCTTATCTGTGCAGCACGGTGCATTCGGTGAGGGTGTGCTGAGCCGGGAGGGGAATTGGGTTCTTCAGTGCTTTGCCTCTGAACCTGGAAGGAAACCTGAGCCTTTTCCTGCCAAGCTATGGTTCTAACCATAAGCCCTAAGCACAGCCCTCAGGTTGAACTTCAAGTGCATCATGGGATGAACTGATTGTAAGTTAACGTACAGTAGTGTTTCTCCCTCGGTTTCCCGTCTCACTCTCTGATTCCTTTGTTGTAGGTGGCCCGAAGAGGACCCACCCAACTGTCCCAGGGATTCCAGGGGGAACCAGGGCTGGGGCAGGAAAAATAGGTCGAATGATTGCTGAGGAAATCATGGAAATCCACAGGCAAGTAGCATCTTCTAATTGTTCCCTTAAACTGGTGGTTCTCAACCCAGAGCATTCTCACCCCCCACCACCCCCAGAGGATGTTTTATAATCTCTGGAGACATAGTTGGTTGTCACAAATAGGTGGGAGGTTGCTACTAAACATCCCTGGATTGAGGCCAGGGTGCTGCTTCCTGAACATCCTTCATCATTGGATGTATATAGTTATAACCTACAGTACACAGAACTGCCTCTCCCCCACCCCACCCCCAACAAAAAAATTTCTAGTCCAAACTGTCAATAGTGCTGAGACTGAGAAATCCTGCCTTAAATAAAGAGGCTAAACCCAAACAGCCCAGAGCTAAAGGGAACTCGGTGGGAGGCTCCACTCGCTAGTGACTTGGTGTATGGCTCAGGGTGCTTCCCAGTGAGGACGGGAAACACTGGCACCCCAGGACTGCAGGAGAGCCGAGATCTAGTTTTCAAAGCATTAGCTTCTCCGATCACAAAACTGCCTGGGTGTAGTGGAGACCAGGCCCTTCAGCTCCTGATGGAAGCTTCCTCGGGCAGGACTTCTTCATAGGAGTGACGGGGAAGTTTACCCGGGTGTGAGTCCTGGACCTCTACTTCAGCAATTTTCCACCTTTTTCTTCTCATGGAATACATAACTAATGACTAAAATTCAGCAGCACACCACAATATATTTTTTGCCAATCTAACAAAAAAAATTGGTATAATTTTGATTCATTCACACTGGACAGCTATTGTTGTGTTGACTGTCATTTTTTTATTTGAAAAAGTGGTCTGACTAAATAGGTATCGCATGTCTTAAAAATTCTTGGGGCACCCGGTTGAGAATCACTGCTGTACTGGTACTTGGTGGTGCTCAGGAGATTCACTTAGCTTCTTGGTCTCTGTTGACTTAGGCCGTGGAAGGGAGGCATATCTATCTCCAGGGATTGCTGTGGGATCGTGAGGAAACTCAGGACAGTTCCTGGTGCAGAAACTGAAAGAGAGGGCTCAGAATTGTTACTTAAGTCTAAGTCTCTAAGAGCAGTCATTGAGAAGGAAGTAGTTATTATGAGTCCACCTGAAGTTGGGGAATGGAGAGTTGGAAACCAGGTCCTGCAACCGTTATGGGACATAATCATAGGAAAAGGAAAAATGACCGCTAATTCTTGCTGCCACTGGATTTGCAGGTGAATGGGGCTGGCTCTGTGTTCCAGTTGGCTCTAGTGGGGCTCTGACCCAGCGGGTAGCTGTTCTGTTCCAACCCAACAGGAATGAAGGATGACACTTCAGGAGGGAGATGTGGGGTCAGCGATGACCAGGTTGCCATCAGCCACTGCATACCCTGTGCTTGGCTGAGACCATCCAAGAACAGGGTAAACCAGCCCTTGACCCTGATGATCTCACAGTCTCTGAGAAGCCTGTTTTTTTTATAATAGAGAAAAGGGAAAGCACATGGTCTGGAGCAGGCAAGAGAGATGTTGAACTTGGTTGAAGCTTGGGTTTGTGATGAAGGTAGGCATTGCTTCTAGAAAAGACAGGCACATGCTGGGTGGGCACATGAGTGGCATATTCAGGGTCAGGAATCTGGCCACCTAATTGGGCAGTCTCTTTGTAAAAAGGGGCCACAGGGCTCTGATAGGAAATTTCTAATATCACTAAGAAGTGATGCTGAGTAGTTTACATTGGAAAATGATAACACCTGTTCATTATGGGATGCTGAACAGGTGTTGGTAAGCACTGTGGAAGTCAGGTGAAATGGGAGGAGAGGAAGGTGAGCATGCTTGATAACCCAGGAACAAGGCCCATCCTACAGTGGTGATGCTCTCCAAAAGAGAAATGAATAATATAAGGACTAGATACTGAAGATGAAACAAGAAACAATGAAAAGGCAATTCCAAGATGGGGAACCTGGGAAAAAGTGGTTTCACAGGGAGAGGTAAGAAAAGGTGGAGACAGTCAGCACTTTGCAGTAAGCTATTAGTAGGCCTCTGTGTGTCCTAAAGGTCCATATAGATTTATCCTTTGAGAAGCTTATGATCTAGGAGAGAGAAAACTTTTTCACTCACAGATCCACAGAACTAGGCAGTGCAGGCCAAGTGCCAAAAGGCTGCTGGGCAGTGGAGAGTGGTCCCTGAGGGCCCAAAAGCCGCATTCATCTATGAGGAGTTAGGAGCCTGGTGGCCACGCAGCTGCCACCATACTCTGCCTCAACTCCAGCTTCAGCACCAGGCCGTGCCCACTTTCCTGAGGTCCTGCAGCTGCCAAGTGTATGTGGGTTTATGGTTCTAAGTCTTCCCCCCTGTAAACCTATGCTGAGAAATACACTCGCTGAGAAGGGCCTGGAAGAACCATCATTTCTCTATTGCCTTAGAACAGTTGTTCTCAACCTGTGGGTCGCGACCCCTTTGGGGGGCTAACGACCCTTTCACAGGGGTCGCCTAAGACCATCGGAAAACACATATATAATTACATATTGTTTTTGTGATTAATCACTGTGCTTTAATTATGTTCAATTTGTAACAATGACATTGGGGGTCACCACAACATGAGGAACTGTATTAAAGGGTCGCGGCATTAGGAAGGTTGAGAACCACTGCCTTAGAAGATGACCACTACTACTGCAGAGCTACTTTCTAGGTGTGGCTGAGCATCCTGGCACCTCCGTGTCCCAAGAGTATTCATTGGCTGAACAGTGTTTGCAGGGAAGAAGATAAATCATTGCTATGGGTTTAGTTCATGGTATCAAAGATAGAGACTGAACTCCTAAAGTTCCCTCCTGCTCTTGATCTGGGTTTTGTAAGGAAACAAAACTGGCCACTTACTTGAAATTCCACCCTGAATTCCAAACCATAATCCAAGGGCTTTGTCAGTGAGATGCTTGACTCCAGGGTCTGCATCCTAGACTAGGTGTCTATGGGATAAATCCAGCTTATCAACTGCTTTTTTAAATTTAACTTTTTAAAATATATTTTTTATTGATTTCAGAGAGGAAGGGAGAGATAGAAACATCAATGATGAGAGAGAATCATTGATCAGCTGCCACCTGCACACCACCTACTGGGGATCAAGACGACAACCTGGGCATGTGCCCTGACCGGGAATCAAACCATGACCTCCTGGTTCATAGGTCGATGCTCAACCACTGAGCCATATTGGCCAAGTTTGCCTGTTTTTTTATGTAAAGTTTTTTTGGAATACAGCTACACCCATTCATTTACAAATGATCTATGGCTGTTTCAAGCTACAATGGCAGAGTTGAGTAACTGTGACTTAGAGAGCCTAAAGTAGTTACTCTCTGGCCCTTTACAGAAAAAGTTTGCCAATTCATCCTTCATCTTACACACACACACACACACACCCTCCCTCCCTCTCTATAAAACGGAAAGGCAATGTAATTAACTCCTCTTTTCTCTGACAGGATAAGAGGGTCCTCTCCTTCCAGCTGTGGCTCCAGCCCACTGAACATCACAAGTACACCTCCCCCTGATGCCTCTTCCCCAGGAGGCAAGAAGGTAAGCCCCTTCTTAATCTAGAGAGCCTCTTGCCCAGGTTCTGAAATGTTGGGGTGAGAGTATACAATTACAGTTGTGGTTGCTGAAACATCTTTCCTCCTTGAGTAAATGCACGATTGTGAGGCTAGGTACAAAGCATACTGGTGGAGCTAGTGTGGCTTGCTGGCATCCTTAAAGGATTAATTGCCTGTGAGTGGGGAAAGCAGAGAGCTTATTCTAAGGAGTGGGGAGTTATCAGTCCATTGCATTAAGGGAGCAATTCAAGAGCTCCCATGAGGGAAGGATTAGTGAGTACCACACACAGAGAACTATCCAATTCCCTGCCAGTTTTCAAGGGCGAAACCACCATTAGTGTCTAGTGCAGGGATCGGAAACAGTGAAGCTACCAGCAGGGCTCCAGAAGGCAAGCCATGCCTTTGCAGTTGCAGGGCTTGGAGATCCGCCGCCTGGGTTTCCTGTGGCATGGCAGCATGGGTGCACGCAGTTCATCAGTCGCCCCCTCACAAAGCTAGCTAGAGGGCTACACTGTAAATAGGCTTAGAAACCGCTCATCTGTTTCATCTTTGTCAGAGAATTCCCAAGTCTAGGTCCATGTTCATTGTAAATCATAAATCCGTTTATGGTGTCTGATGTTAATAATGTTAGGCTGACTCAAGGGCCAGCCAGCATCTTTAGACAGTCTTCCCCTATCTTCCAGAACACATGCAGAAAGAATATTAGTAATTTACATAGATGGGACTAATAAAGCACCAACTATAGCAGAAGCAGGATGTGGGATTTTAAAACTGGGCTCCTCCAAGGCTCAGGTAGCAGGAGCTGTGGTGCCACCAGTGGGATGGGGCAGGGCTACTGGTGAGAAGAGGGAAAGTCAGGACTCCTGTGTCTTCTACCAGGGCAGCTTCACTTCTATGAATCTTCTGGACCTTGCAGAGCCCTGAAAGGATCTTACTCCCCACCTCCTCCCACCCCTCAAAAGGCCACCAATGTCATGTATCTTTTACCAGTGCAACTTTACTTCTATTATATATAAAATAGAGGACCGAGGGCTGATGCATGAAATTCGTACAAGAGTAGGCCTCCCTTCCCCCAGCTGCTGGCACCGGCTTTCCTCGCAGCCCCGGCTTCATCCGGAGGGACGGCTGCTCTAATTAGCATGTTACACTTTTGTTATTATAGATATGTGAATGTGCCTAGCCTTTGCTAACATAGAAATAGCGTTGATGAGATGAAGTCTGGACTGCAGCTGTGCTCCTGGCAGTTCTGTTGCACTCCTGGGTCCTTCCTCCATATGGGATCCCCTCTTTATAGGCCAGTTCCCCTCCTCTACTTCTCAGTTGAACTTTTAGGCACTTGCCTTCCTGGTACTACCAGGAATCCCACTGTATCAATCCAGTATAATGCTCCAGTACATTCTTTCATCTTATCCTCACAACTTTATAGGTAACATCGAGGCTCCCCAGTGTGAAAGATACAGCCCAGCATTTTTTAATAAGTCTGGTTCCAAACTATCTTGGGGTCCCTGATTTCTGATTCCTTTTTACACCAGTAACTGCCAGAGATGAAAGAGCATGTTCAGCATCACAAAGCCCCAAGTATTTTTAAAGCATTTCTGGAAAAAAAAAAAAAGTCCTTTTTCTTTGAGCTTATACAAGTGGGTATGAGAAGAAATTCTGAATGTATTTTGAGTCCTCAACAGAACTCATACGAGCACCTAAACAAGATAGAGTTAAAAATGACAGCAGCAGTAACCGGTACACCAGAGCCACAATGCTTCCAGCCCTCCCACTTTCAGATTTGGCAGGTCTGAAAATGAGCCGTTTAGCTTGCCAGTTGTTTTAGTCGGGTTCAGCTGAAGGGGAGGCTAAGTGAGCCTGTTTCCAGGCGAGTCCGGGCTCCAGAGGCAATAGGTCCGCACAAAGCATCCAGTCCTTATGTGTCATCTGTGATGTGAAAACTTCACGTTTTTTGTAGATCTTTTCAGGGCTCTGCAAGGTCTGAACTCTTTTCATAATAAGGCTGAAAGATTATTTTTTCTCACTGTGTTGATATGTGAACAAATAGTACAAAAGCAATGTTGGGTAAAACTGTTGGTGCCTTTGCAAAAATGAGGGCAGGGACACCAAACTGCACTAGCAGTAGTCGTATTTTCTCACTGCCATATACTCGAAATGAAAAAAGCAATAAAAATTTTAAAGACATTTTCATTTAAGAATGCCCTAATGAAGCAGTAAAAATAACTGCTTTTATAAAACCCTGGAGTAAATTTTTTTGGCACTGGGACACAGTAGGAAGTACACATGCAGCACCTGTGCTGCTCATAGCCGTCTCAGGAAAAGCCCCTTTGACCGTGTGAGTTCTGAGCTGCACGAACAGCTTTCTTCACGGAACACTTATGTTTCCTATTGTAAACTATGGCTGTTCAGACCTAGGTATATGCATACATTTTCCTTGAAAATGATGAAGTGAACCTGTGACTTCAAGGAAAACAACTGACAGTATTTGTTGCCAATGATAAAATTACAGCTTTCAAGCAAAAATTAGAATTTTCAGAAAACGTATCTGCTACTTTGAGCTCAATAGCTTTCTAAAACTTAAAAAATATTTCTGCCCAGACGGTGTGGCTCAATGGTTGAGCATCGACCTATGAACTAGGAGATCGCAGTTCAATTCCCAGTCAGGGCACATGCAGAGTCACAGGTTTGATCCCCAGTAGGGAGCCTGCAGGAAGCAGCTGATCAATGATTCTCTCTTATTATTGATGTTTCTCTCTCCCTCTCTCTCTAAAAATCAATAAGAACCTATTTAAAAGATATTTCTGATTTAGGCGTTTATTTATTTTTGTTAATCCCTCCTCCACCACCTCTCCCTGGAACATTTTTCCATTAATTTTTACACAGAGTGGAGGGGAGGGGAAGAGACACACAGAGAGAAAAACATCGATTCGAGACACATTGATTGATTGCCTCCACACGTGCCCCGGAGTTGAGCTTGCAACCCAGGTATGTGCAGCCCTTGACTGGAATCGAACCAGAGACCCTTCAATCTGAGGGCCAACGCTCTATCCACTAAGCCAAATCGGCTAGGGTGGATTTAGGTATTATTAACAATTAGGATGTTTTGATGTTGTACAATGAAATGTGTCAATGTGTCAGCATTTGAAAGATTTGCGTAACAGTGAACCGGTATTTTCCAAATGACCAATAACTCAAGGTTATTTTATTTTTTATTTTGAGAGTACATTTATTAATGCTGGGGGCAGTGAAACAAGGAGAGGCTTAGGATAGAAGCAACAGGAGGGACTGCTGTCAGCTCACTGGAAGTCAGAGAAAGGGGAACATTGGAGACAGGTTCAGGGCTTAAGCCTGGGAAGATGCCAATGTCCATCACTCCCCTGGTTGCAGTCTCATGGGGCCCCTTAGAATTTAGGAGATGCCCACCACTGGGAGAATGGAAAGGGGTTGGAAAAGGTGCAGGCATGCTCGCGGGACAGAGAGTGCGCCCAGTGCAAGGTGTTTTACAATCATGCAGAGTTAAAAGATCCATCGTAAGATGGATATGCCAATGGATTTTAACCGGAGTACAAAAACTTCATTGATGTGGTTTCAGATTCTACATTGCAGCTAATCTTTTGAGAAACTTCCACTGAGTTTTGATGTAATATCAAAGATTAATTCCACAACTATTTGAAAAAAAAACTATTAAAATACACTTTCCTTTTCCACCTATATAACTAGGAGACCAGATTTCCTTTATATACTATAATCAAACAACACATCTAAACAGACTAAATGAAGCATATGAGAATCCTGTCAAATTCTACTAAGGCAGATACTGGATTTTTTAAAAAATGTAAATCAACGACACCACTAATTTTTTGTTATTTTGGAAAAGTTATTTTTCATTAAGATGGTATTCATGTTAACAAGTAATGGGTTTATTATTTTAAGAATTTATCATTTTTAACTTTAAATATACTAAACATTGATAAATATAACCCACATAAACAAAAGTTCTTTGAAGTCCTCATTTTTTAAATTGTATAAAGGGGTCACCAGACCAAATATTTGAACTGCAGAGATAAGGAAGTTGTAATGCCACCTACTAGCAAGGCCTGAAATCACCGACTCTCCTGAAATTCGAGGAGCTGCCAGTTTCCCTCACCTGCATTCAAATACTTCTCCCAGGAGAATCAGTGGGGAAGGAAGCGGTGGGCGGGGGGGGGGGGGCAGACAGAATGAGAATTCTGCTACTGAGGAGTAATAATGCTTTCAGGGCCTTAAGAACTTAAACCACTGGTTATTGGAGGCGGGACCTGTAGTTAACTGGTGAGGAGAGATTTACTTCTAGTCCTTCGTTTTCATTTGTGATTCCTCAGAGCTGTGCCTCTTCCCAGTTTAACGAGCTCTTATTTCTTCTTCAGCAACATCTGTTGCTGTAAGTTTTACTCCCTTACCGGGGAACTGCCCAGCTGGGCTCAGTGAAGTTTAGTCCTTGGCCCTAAAAGAAACATGTGAGCAGCATGATCCAAGGTAACTGAATGCTCTAGGGATTTTATTCAGCCTTTAAATCGCCTGTGTGGGTGGAATCTAATGAAGAGAAAAGTTTTGGGGAGAGTTTTTTTTTCCTTCGACCATTTTAAACAATTTAAAATCATCCAATAGGAAACTGCAGCCATTTGAAGCTTTTTTTCAGCATGGTCCTTGGTAAGCATATACTGACTGAAATTGCTGGTGATGTGAAAACTTCACTTTTGTTTGTAGATTTTAAATGGAGGGACTCCAGACATTCCTTCCAGTGGCCTACTACCAGGGCAGGCTCAGGAGCACCCAGGTTATCCATATTCTGATAGTTCTTCTATTCTTGGTAAGTGGCATTTTATTCATTTCCATGACAATAACTTTTCAACACATCTGACATGTCAATTTTAATAACATAAATGTACCAAACAAGCTTGTTCTAGATAAATTTGATAACAAAGTTTAAAATTTCTGTAAAACTTTACTTCCAAGTTGAGTTCTGATTGGAGTATCCAAGTATGTCCCTGAACTCAGATTACAGCAGCTTAGACACGCACAGGCTTTCTCCACCATGTTAGGGCATAACCTCTTCAGAGGTTTAGAGATAAGGCCCAGAAGGGTGATAGCATGCGTTTCAGAGGGTATTAAAGGGTCCACTTCTCCCATTCCATTTGTCTTTTTCTATAATTATCTGTCTAGATCTCCCTTTCCTAATCTCTACCTTCCTTCCTATTTCTTTC